GAGCTTCTCGAGACGGGCGCAGTGGCTGTCCCCAAGCCACCAGGGCTGCAGCCTTGTCTGGCTGCCCTGGGCGCCCAGAGCAGCTGGCCACACTCAACGTCCCTCCTTGCGTGGGAAAGAGCAGCATCCGCTGTCACCCCATGTGTCACCGCCTCCTCGCTGTCCCCTCGCCACCTACGTCTGCCTGCTCCTGGGTCTGCCCTGCTGTTGCCAGCACCACGTTCACTGTTGCCATGTCCGTCTCTGTCGGCTCCATCAGCCTTAGACTTCCCAGCTTCCACTCCAACACTCCTACGTGCTCTAGCTATTCCCTTTTCCCTTTTCCTTCCCCTTCACTCGCTCCTGTTTCAGGCCCATCCACCATCCTGCACCTAGAAACACGGTTGTGGGTGAAGAAGGCGCATGGCAGCGCTCGTTACTCAGGCACGTGGCCCCACTGAGCCCACTTTCCCCTCTGCTTGCCCACAATCAACCCTTAAATGTCCCACCCTTTCTTCCCCCCTTGCACCCACGGTCTCCCCATGCTGCTCGTGGCCTCCTGGGCCGTCACCACCCCTTGTCACCCCTGGGTGCAGGGATTTCCACTCAAGGAAGCCCTGGCTTATGGCCCTGTGGACCTGGAGCTCCAGGCTGGGCTGAACTGTGGTCCTTGTACCTGTTCTGTGGTCTCCAGCCCTGAGCACAGCAGCACCCAAAACACTGCTGTCCTCCACCCCCTTGTTCTCACAGCACCTGACAAGGGGAGCTCCGCATCCGGGGCTGCTTCCCATTTTCAAATCCCACCTCTTTTTCCCCCAGAGACACTCGGGCACCGTCAGTGGAGCATCTGCCCTGCCTGGCCGAGCCCTTTTGAGCCTGGTCTGCAGCGAGGGGGAGCAGGGACAGAGCGGTCCTAAGGATGTGCCTAGGAAAGTGTAGGTGGAACCTTGTGCCAGGTGCCGCTTTCCAGCCCTAGGATCCCACACAGGGGGAGCTCAGGAGCAGGGGACAACCAGGGTGCCACTCAAACAGGCAGGGGGAAGGACAGGAGTCCTTTTCTAGGTGGGTTTTCTCAGGAAGGGAGCAGCAAGCCTCATACCCAGGTAGGGCAGGGCTCAGCATGGCTGAGGAAGTGGTGGAAGGAGCCTCCGAGAGAGGCGGGTGCCCAGCAGACCAGGGCTCGTTGTCCCTGTCACCCAGGCGGGGTGTCCCCTGGGCTGCTCCGTGCCCCGGGGTCTCCGCGGTGCAGGGGCAGAGCCAGGCTGGGAGCTGGGGCCTCCTCGCTGGGCTCTGTCACACCCGGCCGGCCGCTCCGAGAGGTTCATTTGTGTCCCTCTGTTTTGTCGTCCTCCCCAGATCTTTCCCAGCTCCCCACCCCACACGTTCACTCCACTCCAGCCCCTCCGCCAGGCCCTTCCCAGCCCATCTCTCATGCTACCATGGCCACCGCCTCATCCTTCACTTCAGCTCCCGTCCAAGGTACCGTAAGCTCCTTTTCTCTCTCTTTACGGACCCGCTGGTCCCCAGGCCATGAGGAGAAGGTCTGCAGGCCCAGCCAGGGCCAGGGAGACCCTTCCCACATCCCAGCTGCCAAACCAGGGTCGGATCCAGTTTGGCTGCTCCTTGGCATGTCAGGACTCAGCAGCCGCCTTCCCACCAGGGCCAGCACTTCTGGATGGTGGTGGGCAGCATTCCCATGGCAGAAGAGGTCAAGGAGAGAGACCACAGGCTGCACAGTGGCCCTTCCCACCCTGCTGTTCCCATCCTATTAATGCAGAGCCCTGCCAGGAGATGTGAAGGGTGGAAAGGCCCTTCTGCATCCCTCTTGCACCACGAGAAGCATCATCCTGCCCAGCAGGGAGCTGTTTTCTCCCAGGGCACTTGCCCATAGCCTGGGTCCCCCCGCGTAGTCATGTCACCACCAAGCTCTTGGCTGGAGCGCTGTTGCTTGGCAGGTTGTTGCAGCCGTTGTCCTCGAGTTGCAAACCATGCCCTGTGTCTGTGTGAAATGTCATCCCTCTCTCCTGTTGCTTTCTCTGTTCTTTTTTTATTTTTTTTCCACGCTGTGCTGTACAAACATCTTGTCTTCTAAATACTTCTCTGGATATTTCAACCCTGGAGCGGAGTTGGAAGAACAAGAACTGACTGGAAGGAGGATTTGGGCCCTGTAGTAGATGCCAAACACCTTCAGCCAGTTCAACATGAAACTGCTTTTCCCTGCAGCCCCAGGAGGAGCAAAGATGAGCGCTCCCAACGCAGGCAGAGCCTCCTAGCTTGGCTCCGAGCAGTTCATCTCCCCCTGGTCCAAGGACGCTGTCCCTGCAGAGGGGACATTGCCATGAGGTGCCAGTCCACGTTTCCCAAACACAAAGTGTCACCCGGTCCGGGTCCTGCTGTGGACTCCGCTGTGAGATGCAGCTGGTTGGGACTGTGTTGCAGGCTGGAGGACTGTCCACATTCCACCTCGGGAAGGGGCAGAGGGCATAGCATGGTGGCAGGGCTGCTCTCCTGTCACCTCCTGAGGGCAGCACATTGCCGGGCGAGTCTGCCCATCACCTTCATCCTGGCAGGATGCAGGGGAACAGCGAGACGGCCTGGCACAGCCGTGACTTCCTCGGGCAGAGCCATGTGCTCAAGCTGGTCCCTTTTGGGGCAGAAACCTCCTCCACAGAGGACAGAGCAGGATTGGAGAGCTCTGAGGAGGAGTCACTCGGGAGAGCAGTGGGGATCGCAGGTCTGCAGGGTCCTGGGGGCAGAGATGCTGCGGGTTGCAGACACGGTGGCTGGTGCTGCTCCTTGGGGACATCCCAGGGCACTGAGGGAGGCTGGCTTTGCTCATCACAGCTCCTCAGCTTGCCGCTCCTGATGCCCCCATGGGCACCATCCCTTTTCTGTTCCCATCTCAGCCTTTCTCCCTGCTCTCTGCCTCTCCAACTCTCTTCTCCAACGGGGTCAGGCTGATGGATGCCGTGTGTGATGCCAGAAGACATCCTGTGTTGGCACAGAGCCAAGCAGGATGGGACCCTCCCGAGATTCCCATCCGTGGCCCTCAGGGATCCTTGGGATGAGCAGCAGCCCCCGACACACAGCAGGGCCTATAAGCATCTCCCCCTCTCTCTGTTTTTTCTCTCCCGCTGCTGTTTGGGCAGATGCCAGCCCGGTGCCATCGACCTCGGGCGCGTACCACGCGGTCATCGGCGGAGTGGTTGCCGTCATCGTCTTCCTCCTGCTCAGCCTCCTCATCGTCCTGGGACACTACCTGATCAGACACAAAGGTAAAGCCCGGGCGAGCCCCCCGGGGTAGCGCGGCGCCGAGACCCCCTTGGCACAGCGGGCGGGCAGCACGGGTGCTGCTGCCACCCCGGATGGCTCCTGGATGGCCCCAGGGCGAGGGGACTGCATGGGGCAGGTGTCAAGGGAGGCCCCTGCCCGTCCTGTATCCGGAGAAACCCAGCGCGGCCAAACGAGCCTTCCAGGGTCCCGTTGCAGAGATGTCCTGGTGGAACCTCGGAGACAGGCAGGACTAGGCACCAGCGGGCAGAGGCAGCGTTCCCCCTTCCCGCTCTCCCTCTCCTACAGCCCCAGGACTGCCCATCCCATCAGTCCCCGTCCTGCACCGTGGGCCGTGCGTGTCCCATCTCCCCTCGCCCCCCTCTCTGCCCATCCCCTGAGCCCTCCGCGCTCCTCATTTTCCTCCCTTCCCCACCATTTTCCACCTCCCCATCCCTGGACTTTTCATCCGCCCAGCAGGTGTATGCGTAAGACACGGGGAGACGGTCACATCCAGACATCGGCAAAACCCAGCAGAGGTGATGTGTGAGTAAGAGCCCCCCTCCCTGCCCTCCGAACCCAGAAGAGCTGCCTGCATCTGCCCCTGCCACGTGGGCACAGGGCACGTGGCTCCCGGGGGAGCCGGAGCCGGAGCCGCGTGTCCAGGGCCCCCGTGTCCTCCTGCAAGGCAGCAGAATGTGGCTCTGGAATCTTCCTTTGCCTGGAACCTGGAATCTTCTCTTTGCAAACGGTCGTTTTGCGGAGAAACCTTTCAGTTTGCTGATGGGGACCAGGGACAGGGGTGCAGCGGGGAGGGCAGGAGGTGGAAATGCAGCTGCCTGCAGAGCTGGGGGACGGTTCGGTTCTGACTGCAGAACAGCCCAGCTGAGGAGCAATCCCAGGGCAGGGCTCGTCCCAGGGAAACCAGTGACTTTTCCATTTCAGGGCAAATGCACAGGATGTTTCTCCTCGCGCCTCCCTTTTTGCAGCGGGCTGGACGTGCCTTTCCTAGCAAGCCCTTGAGCGTTGCCACTGGGGCCCCTGCAGGCAGCCGGGCTGTGCCCCGCGCGCGCGGGACGGCGATCGGCGCGTGACGCTGCCCAACTCTCTCCCTGCTCAGGTACCTACCTGACCCACGAGGCCAAGGGGTCGGACGATGCCCCAGACGCAGACACGGCCATCATCAACGCGGAGGGCGGCCAAGCCAGCGGCGACGACAAGAAGGAGTATTTCATCTAGGGGCGGCGCAGAGGGCGAGAGATGGAGCCAACAAACCCCAATGCAAATGGAAACCAGACCACAAACCCAACTCAACCCAACAGATTTTCTCTCACGCCCGGGATGGGCAGACGGACGGACAGAGGGATGGCGGGACAGAGAGCAGAGAGCGACCGGCCTGAGACATGATGCTTCTTCTTGAACTTGTACAAAACGTTATTACTACGAACAGCGAAAGCCCCGGCCCCGTTTGCTTGCTTGCACCTCCATCCCTGCGACCGGCGCTCGCACTAAGCACAGACCAACCAGTGAGTGAGCGACTTTCCTTCTTCCTTTGGACCTTTGCTTTGGTTTCGTGGCTGCTCTTTGCTTTGGGCCCTTGGTTGGGATGTCGGGCTGGGGTCGATGTAGCTCTTCCCTTTGTTTCTCTCCATTTTGGTTTCTTTCGCATCCAAGGATAAAATCAGCTCCGGGCTCTGGCAGAAGCTCCGGACACCCGGGTGGCCTCTCTGTCACCAGCGCTGGGACCCGTGTCCCTGTCACTGCCTGCCAGGCTTGGCCGCTCCGTGCCTCCCCAAGCCAAATTCCATGGGCTGGGGCCAGGGGGGTGCCATGGGCCCTGGCACAGCAGGTTGTGCCCGCCCGGAGCAGGATGCCCATGGGGCAGCTCGGGGCAAGCGCGGAGGGACCCCGGGACCCTGCCCTGATTTTATCCTTGGTGGTTCTTGTCAAACGATGTCCATGCGGGAGGAGAACTGTCCTCGTGTGATAGATGTGTGAAGAGGGGGGAGCTCCCGGGGTGGGAGCCGCCGAGGCCTCCGGAGCGCCTGGGAGCCGCTGGGCACCTACAGCTCCCCCGTCTCAGCCCACGCGGCGCGG